CAGACGCATCCCAAAACTTGAGATTTCAACACTGTAGTTCACATAGGAAAGACAAAATTAAAACATTTTTTCTGAATTCAGGCAAATACCATATGGGACCAGACCTTTCATCGGAGGTCTGTTTTTCTTTTTTCTTTTTTTTTTTAAGATAAAGATGTATTCTGTTTAATTTTTATGTATTTTAAAATTAATTTTTAAATAATTTTAAAAATACAATCTCATTAATTTAATATATTTAAAAAAATTAATATTTTTAAATATTAATTTTTTAATTTAAATTATAAATCTTATTTTTAAGACACCACTTATTAATAGATTCAATATTTTTTTTGTAAAAAATTTTTAGTGTAAATTTTGCCGCTAGTTTTTCTTTTCTTTTGTTTTTGGATTGGATGGTGAGATTAAATTATATATACCTTACAATTAATACCTCTTTAAATAATTTTAATAGGATACTCTTAAAAATTTTATTGCTTGCTTGCTTCTCACGAAATCCACTGTTTTTCATAATAAATTATTATTATTTATTTTTTTTTTTGTAAACAACAAAAAAATTCATGAATACAAAGATACTCAAATCCAATTAATAAGAATGGTCAAATCAACATCGTACAATAATTTGCCCAAAACGAGATGCAAGTCTAACTAGCAATTAAGCTAGCCATATTGTAAGTTAGAGACAAGATCCTGCAACCAACAGGAGGTTGAGTGAAAATATTTCGATTTTTTTTTAAGTAAGATTTCGAATTTGACTCTTGTGAACGGAGTATTAAGTGTTGGGAGAATTTCTCTCTAATGAGGTCCGATGCAGCTCAATTTTAAATTAGTCGAAATCCAAAATGATTACCAAATACTGAAAATTTAATACCCAACAAAAAGACAGGATCCTGCAGCCCATCCGAAGGGAAAAGTTCATACTTCACACCCCACTACTTCTTCATTATTGAAAACTTTCCACCAAGCAAGAACGAGCAATAACTCGCATCACTCCCCGCCATCGAAAGCATTTACCCCATAATTGACATCAGAAACTTCCAGGTATCTATATTCGAAAAAGTCGATAATTTTGGTCAAAAAATTTAACCAAAAAATGTTATTAAGGACACTTCTTTATATCACTTATTCGATCAAAAATCTTGACCGAATTAATATATTATTAAAATTCTAATATAATTTTGACAAGAACTTTCCTCCAATATAATTACAAAATAGTTAAATATAATGTTATTACGGAGAAGAATTTAGCCTTAAATAAATATATTTTAACTTAAAAAAATTAGGAGATAATTTTGAAAATTTTAAGATGTTTCGCTTGATTTCTAAAATTAGAATATCTAATTTCAAACACGTATTTTGACTAAAATAGTTGATGGAAAAGTCAGGAAGTTATAATTGATATGTGGAGGCAAAATATCTAATTTTGATAAGAATATTGACTAAAATAGTTTTGACTAAGGGTAGATATGATTTAGTTTTGATCCAAACCCAAATTATTGATTAACCAAAGTTTTGGGTTTTTAATTTTAGAATCATATGAATCAAACCAAAAATACAAATTTTATCAATTTTAATTACATTTTTTAGAATAATTATTCAAATCAATTTTGGTTTAAATTAAAAAATTATTTTTATATTTTCTAATGATTTTTGAATTTATTATTTAATTAATTTCAATCACTAAAAACTTAAAAAATACC